CCGGATCCAGCGGCTCTCAGGGACTTCCCCCGGGTGCTGCCCCCTCCCAAATGACCCCTGATGCCCAACTGCCCGGTGCAGCCTCTGGCCTGGCATCAGCAGAGAACCGCGCAGCACAGACACATCCCAAGTGCAGCTCCCACCCTGGAGACCAGCCTGGCTTCACCCAGGTACCATCACCCAAGCAGACACCCCCCCCACCTCATCCCCGAGCCCCCACCGAGCACAGCAGCACCACAACGGGGCCGTGCGGCCCCAGCAAGTGCAAGAGGTTCATTTTCCAAAGGACTGGGTTTATAAAGCAGCCCAGCCCTGGACAACACGTGCCAGGGGCAGGAGGGAGCCCCGGAGAACAAAGAGCAGGGTCTGGATCAACTCAGTTACTGACTCCAGCGACTGGGAAAAAGAGCCCAAAGAGCAGCAACATTAATGGCAGCAGAAAAACCTTCCTCTCCTGTGTTTCTGCTTGTTAGCACAGGGGAGGGACAGGCTAGAGCTGGGCTTTCAAAAGAGCTTAAAGGAGTTGGATGTCTGAATCCTATTCAACAGCAACAGGAATCCTGTACTTAATTTCTATGCTCGTCTTTGAAGATCTCAGCGATAATTTGCACCTTCAGAGCACATTTAATCCCAAAGCCACTTACAAGAGGCCGACGAGTGAGCAGGGAGGGAGCATCTACCAAACCCAGAACCATCCACCCCACTGCTGCAGCTGAAACACCAGGACAGGGACCCAAAGCAAGGCAAGAGAGGAGCTCCTGGAGTGGATCCCATCCTTCCCATCAGGAAGAGCAGCAGGAGAGTGTCACCAAGCAAGGAAAACACCATTTCTCCCCTGAGATGCTGTCACACGTCCTTGGCCACGTCTCAGTCAGTTTAGATGTCAACCAGAACATCTCTAGAGAGACGTTTAACGGCATAAGCCAAGTATTGGGTATCATGGTTCAAGGCTGGGGACCTTGAGCCCAAATGGGCAGAGGGAAATGACCCACAGCACCCAGGCTCATCCGCCACCCGCAGCCACACAGCACCAGCCTTGTGCCTTTATACACCTTCTCTTTCTTTCCTTTTCCTAAGCTATCTTGCAACTAACAAACTGGTCTCCAGAGCTCCTTCATTACTATTGATTCCAGCAGCAAAACCGAATTGGTCGTGGTTAGAACTGTGTTATATCAGGGGGACTCACCGTGTTGAAGTTGGGGAAGAGGTTGAGCGGTGATGTCCCGTTGAGCCTCAAGGTCAGAAAGTGCTTGATGTCCAAGGGGGGATGGAGGGGACGGCCGGGGATGGGCAACGACGCTAAGAGGGGGCTGCTGTGTCCGGAGGGACCTGGGCAGGCAGAGGGGAAAGAGCAGCGTTAGCGGTGGTGGCCCCTGCTCGCGGCAGGGGGGACGCAGCACACGAGGCTCCAGACCCTCCTCAGGGGAAGCTCCCGGCCCCAGGCTTGTTCTGCCTTTTGGGCTCAAAACCAGCATCCTGGTTGGAAGCAGGATGAGTGCCAGAGGGTGACCTGTGCACCCCTGGGAGGGAAGGAGGCCACGCAGCAGGGACCTGTCCCCAGCCTGCTCCCCATCCCAGAGCTTCGCCCCGCTCCGCAGCCCAAGGGCAGCAGTTTCCCACGTGGACTCAGCCATCCCACTCCAGTAAAGCATCCTCTGACCCGTGGAGGGCCCAGGCCGGGCTCCTGTGCCCGTACCCAGCTCTGAGAGGGGGGAACATTAAAACACGTAACTGGAAGATCAAAATACAATAAAGAAGAGAGGGGTTTACAACGCTGTGAGCCAGGAACGCTCATCCACGTCTCGCACAGCTTCACGCCTCCTGACCTCCAGCCCACCACAACAGGGGCAACGTGCTTTTAATTACTAGTATTTTCTGATGTCTGGCTTCTCTTTCACCTCGGGGCAGTGATGGAGCTGGGCTGCCCCAGGGCAGCAGCATCGCAGTCCCTTTGGATGCCCGAGGGGGCCGGTGCTCCCACACCAGGATCTGAAAGCACCGGTGCTCACCCCGTCCAGCCCCACACAGGCTGTGCAGGATGAGGACCCCGCTCCACAGTGCATGGGAGCTGCTTTCCTGCTGGGGTTTGCTCTAAGCCGCTGCTCGGCTGGAGCAGGAGCCGAGCCCCAAATCTGAAATGCAAAGTTTAGAAGCTCTCCTGGATGTGAGCAGCGGGAGCTCGCCCCTGGGCAGCACCGACCTCCTTCTGGGAGAGCGCACACGGCTCCGGAGCGGCCCCGGGTCAGGCCTCACTCCAGGGAAAAATCCCATTGCGCTCCATGAGGCGTGCGCTGATCGAGTTAATTCCAGAGTCACCCAGAAGGGAAATCTGTGAAGCTGCTTACAAATAAAGACAAAACCACAGTGGCAGCGGCGAAGAGGAGCCGGAGCAGTGGAGCTGGGGCACGAGCAACCTGCCTGGGAAACAGCAGCTCTGCTCCAGCCCACCCGAGACGGCAGAGCTGGCCCCAGGGATGCTCCGGCCCCAGGGGTGCTCTGGCCGTGACCCAGCAAGATGTCAGGCTGCCCCCCCCCCGCCTTCCTCAGCACGGCTCGCACTGACTGCACTGGCCCCCGAAATACACGTGTACAAATACATATTGCATTTACCACTGGGAGGATCAAGAGGGTGGGTGAATTCCTCCACCCCCATCAACAGCAACTGAACGAAGGGGGTTTGCAGCTCATCAATGCCACCATGTCGGTGAAACCTGGGTGCTGCCCCACGGCCAAGGGCTTTGCTCCCCAGGAGCTGGGAGTTGGGGGGGGCACATGCAGACGTAGGGATGGCCGCTACCCACCGACACGGTCAGGATGAGATACACCAACTCTGGTGCATCCTTGAGCGCAGGTCTGGAGATGAAACATATTCCTGCAGCCCAGGGGTAAAATAAGCCATTAGAAGAGAGCACAAAAACCCCAGACAGGACCCTGTGAAGGGGACAGGACCTTTCCCTCCTGGTTCTGCCACTGGAGCAGACAAGAGCCTCGCAGCAGGGAAAGGGCTGAAAGCCTCCGCAGCATCAGTGTGTTCAGGCACCCACCAGGACATGATGCTCTTGAGGCACCTCCCCAAGGTTACGGGGCAGCAGCACTGCAGCTCTTGTCTTACCTTTGCTGCAGGGCAGATTCCGGCAGCAGCTGCGGGCTGTATTTTTAGGTATTAATTAGATGCTGAATTAAGGGGATTTGCTCTGGGGACAGTGACAGGGCCACCAGGTCTGTATAGAATGACACGACCTTACCCTGGGTGACGGGCACAGCCCCGGCAGCGTGGGCTTTGCTGCTGAATGGCATCCCCAGATGCTCGGTGCACAGCTCCAGCATGAGGCCACCCTCTGCCCCAGCGCTGCCTTTTCCATCCCCTCACGGACAGGATGTGCTCGGGGCTCCACGGTGCGTGCTGAAGGGCTGGTGTAAAGAGGGGAGTGCAGGAGCCCCGTGCTCCCAGCACCTCCTGGACCACAGGGAGGGGGCATGTTCTTAACTGAGCATCCAGGTCTGAACAAAGGACCCCAGACCACACAGCATCGCTGCTGTGGTGCCACATCCTGTGCCTGCAGCTCAGGTCACAGCCACCACCACCTCAGCCCCTTCCCAGCCCTCCGAAGCCCAGTTCCCACCCCGCTGGTGCACACTCTCAGTGGGTCTGTTGGCGTTAAAGCTGTGTTTGAGTCCATCATTTAACCCAGCCCACCCCAGCCTGTCCCCCCCGTGCTTTGCCCTCCCACACGCCTGCAGCTCCCTGCGAGGCAGATCAGAGCAACTGTTGTGCTCCAGCACCACGTATGTGTGAACCTCCAAGAAGCGCCAGCGACACCGAGGTGGGACCAACACAAGCATCTGCCAAGGACCCATCTCCGCAGACACCGGCTGCCTCCAAAGAGCATCTGGTGCAGAATCTGCACGGGACAGATGGAGACGGGAGTGGTGTATTCCCACGGAAGCAGCCTGGCTCCTCCTGGTCCATTCGTGTTCTCAGGGAATTCTGGTGGTGTCTCACGCTCCTTACCCAAGGCTTTAAAGCTTTTGTCTCTGGCCAAGCACGGGCTGAATTCGCTCCAGCTCTTTCCAGGACACTCTCTGGGAAACACGTGTGAGCTCCCGATGCCAAAGGCTGCCATCAGGAGAGGAGCAACACCCGGTCACAACACGGCACCACAGCACCGGAGCAGCCCCAGCGCTGCGCAGGGGCCACACCAGCAGTGAACAGATTGCACCGTGCTGGACAACCAGAGCAACCAGAGCCAGCAAACACGACCTGGACCTCAGCACAGATGGGAGACAGCGGGGCGGCGGCTGCCCCAGCACAGGGGGTTTGCTCCAGGCAGCCCCCACATCAGGACCATGCTCCCTGGGAACATGATGGAGCATCACTCTGCTAAATCCTCCTATTTCCAGCTCCTGACAGCCACAGGCTCCCCCTCTTCATGCACAGAAGACAGAAAGCAGCAAATCCCACCTTGCCAAGCAAGGGCACGCCAAGAATCACATACCCCAACCAAGGGATGCTTGTGAGCCAGCAGCTCTCACACAAACACACTTGCCATCGAAGCAGCATCTCCTCCCTACGGATCAGCTGAAGGACACGGGCTCTGGGCCATCAGCAGTCACCTGCCACCAGCCCCCAGGACAGAGCTCCAGCTTTCCAGGGCACAGTGTGCCCATGGGAGCCTGGAAGACACCGCCAGGCACCCCCAAACACCCCATCCACACATCCAACACGGGTGTCCTGCAGCGTGGTACCCACTGGGTCAGACAGACAGCAAAGCGCCCCTGAGGGCAATGGGGATTGTCAGTGTTACAGACACGGGGGTCAAATCCTGCTGGACACTGACCTGCACCTGCGGGACAGCACGAACTTACCCAGGGAAGGAGCGGAGCCGAATCCCTCAGGAGGAGCCAGTGCTCTGGATTAAACCGACACGATGCTTGAGGCTGCTGCAGTGGCTTTACTGCAGATTG